CATACAGCTCTGTGGCTCTCTAGCTCTGAGACTGTAACTTGCAAAGACTCATATCCAACCTTGAAAGAGAGTAGATAGTAGGGAGAAATGAAAAGTGGTTCACACACACACACACACACACACACACACACACACGGAAGACTGAGGCATTGTGGAAGATGCTGGGTGATTCTCTTCACCTCTGGAAGACTAAGGCACTGTGGAAGATGCTGGGTGATTCTCTTCACCTCTGTGTGGCCTAACCCAGTGTGACTTTTGTCACTATGCAGCTGGAGCAACATTAGACTTGGGAGGAAGGGTGAGGGAGGCCCCCTCCTAGCAGGGACATAATTTGGAGTCTTCACTTGGCTTCTGGATGATCATGTCACCATGAGGAGCCAGCACAAGAGGGGAGGAAAACAGACAGGTACCCCCTGGTGATTATAAAGACTCAAGCTTCATGGGCTCCTCCCAGAGAGCCACAGAAATCGTTGGAACCACCACAGGAGACAGGAGAGCCTCAAGGTCTCCAACAGCACCGAAGAAGTGGGATGCGGGCACAGGAGCCAAAAAGACACTGCAGATTGAAGCGAGTTAACTCGGCACAGAACTCAGTTGCTGGGATATTATTCTATGGTTAGTTCTGAGAAATTGTTTATGCTCTGTTGTGGCAAAAAACAACCACCACAAAAACAAACAAACAAAACCCCAAACCTCCCTCTAGAAGCGTCTGTGCATTGCAGAATGGCCTGGCAAAGGCAGGAGGAGGTATGGGAATCTGATGATCTTAAACCCAGCCAGGAGGGGGTTAGATGCCCCTCGTAGCAACTAGACAGCCACCTGTCTGCCTGCATATTGCCAAGGCCTTGACTAACCACCTTTTATATTCCAGATACAACACTGTTCACCCATACATGCACTGTGGTTCTGGAGTGCTTATGACAGTCTCCAACGTGGGCGGTGTGACTGTGGTCATGGGTCATGTGTTACAAGTTAGGGTGTGGATGGCTCAGTGCAAACCTCCGCACTGCTGAAATTAGGCCCCAACGTGGGGAAGATGACAGGGCGGGACTTCAGTAACTAAGCAGGGGAACTTTCTGTCCTGTGTCAGGGTCATCTCCCACCTCAGCCCTCAGCGTTGCTCCTCAGCCAGGCATATCATGAGATGATTTAAATATCAAGGACGAAGGCCTGCTGGGCCTTGAGTTTCACTTAGTTTTGACTAACCTTTCCTATTAGTTCCTTTGAACAGTCTCTCTTTGTGGGTGTGACTTGTTCCCGGACAAAGTAAACAAAGGAATCTGTTACTATTTATGGAGCTATTTCTCATAACGAACATAATAACTGATAAGCCTCGCTTGGGAGCCGGTCCTTGCACACTGTGTGCATGCTCCCAGCCCTTCAGGAGGGATTTCTGAACCAGGCTGTGGGCTGGAGAGGGGGCTGCAGGCAGACCAGGGAGGCGAGGAGGAAGGCACTTGCTAAGCATTTACAGAACACTCTGTACCAGGGGGAAATGAGGGCCTCGTGACCTCAGCAACTCACCCTTACTGGAGTAGAGAGAGAAAGAACAGCCCCTCGCACTGTGCTTTCAATACAGTAGCCACTTGCCATGAGTGCCTATGTCCGTGAAAATGAATTAAGAAACTAAATTCAGTTCCTCAGTCACACCAGCCGCATTTCAAGTGCTCAGTAGCCCCCTGTGGCTCCTGGCTAGAGTGGTGGACAACATAGGCGGCATGTCCATCATCACAGAAAGTTCTATCAGTCAGCACTTCTCTGAATCTGAGTGTCATCATTACTAAACACAGGGCCTTCCCCACTAACCTGACCTGGCTTTTTTGGCCCTTGTGTCCTCTCCTTGGATTTCTACAATAGTTCTCTGACCTGTCTCCTCCTACCAGACCCACCTCTAGTCCATTGACAACATTATGACATGGTCCCACTAAAACACAAATATGGCTATGTCACTCTCCTGCCTAAAAGCCTCAGATGACCCTCCAATATCTTTTTCCTACAAGATGGAGGCTGAACTCCCTACCATGGGGTTCAGAGTCCTTGGTGGTTTTCCTACTGCATTCCCTATTCATCCTGAATACCAGCCCACACTTCATCCATGACAAAATGCTATTCCCTTTGCTGGAATATTCTCCCCATCCATGTCCATCCACCCCTAATTTTATCTCTTGGAAAGCTCTCATTCATCTTTTAAGATTTAGTTCAGGCCACATCTCTTATGAGAAGCCTTCTCAGCCCAGCCAGACTCAGTTAGTTCCTGGGCTCCATTCCTTCTTAACTGGGTCGTATGCCCATCAGAGCACTTACCTTCCTGCCTGATCGTTTTTCTTAAAGCCCTCCCTCTCCACTATAATAAAACAGGGACTCTGTCTTGATGCTTTGGCCTTGCTCATCCTTGTATTCCCCAGCACCTACCACAGTTCCTGACAAAGAGAAGGCAGGGTGAAATAGGGCACATGCTTTTACATACACAGCCCTGGGTGAGTCATGTTCTATCTCTGGGGGTTTGCTTCCTTCTCTGTGAAATTGTGATAATAATACATACCTTGAGAGGTGTCTAATCTATAAGTATTAATAATGATGAGTGGGCAGGCTTTAGCCAATGTCTGCTTCTTAAAACATAGCTGTTATAAATGGAAGCTATTATTATTAGCACTATTCTTATAGTACTAGAGGCCCAGTGCATGAAATTCATAAACGGGTAGGATCCTTAGGCCTGTCCAGCGATCAGGGCTGATCAGGGTCTTCTGGCTGCCGGCTGGGGCCTTTCTTCATTCCGCGCCACCCCCTGGTAGTCAGCACACAGAAAAGATGTGTGGGCACATTACACAGAGAGAAAATAATGTTCAAATAAAACATATATAGCATGGGTTCCCTTTAACAAA